GCGCCGCTGCTTCCTCGCCCATCATACTCGGTGATGTAATCAAAAACAATAAATCCCTGCATCCTGATCCTCTGGGTAATCACATTGAAGAAGCTCGCCCCCGGCCCCTTCTTCTCGGCCGAGTTGTACTGCGAAATCCCGCCGCACATGACAAACCTGCTAAACTGCGCAGCCCTCGCCATGACCATGTCAAGGATCTCGCCCCCGACATTATCAAAGTACACATCCACAAATTTCGGTGTCGCCTCCTTGAATTTCTGCTTATAATCCGGGGACTTGTAGTCAATCGCCTCATCCAACCCCAGCTCTTCCTTGAGCCAACGGCACTTTTGCTCCCCCCCGGCAATACCAATCACCCTCGCGCCGGCGATCTTTGCAATTTGCGCGGCTACTGAACCGGTCGCGCCAGCGGCGGCGGAGACGACGACCGTGTCGCCTGGCTTCGGGAGGCCGATTTTCGTCATGCCGAAGTAGGCTGTTAAACCGGTGGACCCGAGCACGCCGAGGAGGTCGGTGAGTTTGCCGCCCTGGGGGAGGTCGTACGCTTTTTCGACTTGGGAGTCGGGCATGATGGCGTATTCTTGGATTCCCGAGGCGGAGGTGACGATTGTTCCCGGGGAGAACTTGGTGGATTTGGAGGCGAGGACGCGGGAGACGGTGAGGGCGCGCATGACTTCGTTTAGTTGGACGGGGGGGATGTAGGAGCGGCGGTCGTCTAGCCAGCCGCGCATGGCTGGGTCGAAGGAGACTGAGGGAGGGGGTGAGGGGGTTAGTTTGCGCAAACTTGGATGCTATGAGTGAAGGGGCGCTTACTGTAGAGAGTCTCGAGGAGGACTTGGCCATCTTTGAGGTCGGCCTCGGTGGGGGCGGGGGAGGATTTGAGGGAGAAGGTTTTGCCTTTCTCGATTGGGCCGGAGGGGCGTTGGGAGAGGACGAGGGAGGTGTTGGTTGTCATGATGGTTGTTGTTGTGGTGATTGATGGGTGAGGAGGTGTATAAGTGGAGCCTGTATGGGAGGTTGAGATACACACACAAATGAATGAAGAATATGAGATCGAGAGATTACAATGAAGTGAGGAGTGAGGTCAAGGGAGGATTTATATACCTATACCTCCTCATCAACATGCAGGGTCCAACATCCTACTTCTAAGCGATGTCATGATTCCTCCCCTCCCCTCCTTTCTCGCCCCCCTCTCTCCAGCACAAAGTGGAGCGTCGATGGTTATCCGCTCCGTTCCCACGCCTGCATCGAGGGAACCATGGAATTCTCTGCATTCGAATTCTTTCTCTCTATTGCAGCAATTCTGCATGTCGACTGCCAAACATTCTCCGCAGTTTACCTTACCAATCCTGCCCCCCGCCGCAAAGAGCCCCTCCATCGTCATAGAAACCGGGGGGCTGCCGGCTTGGCTTTCCCAACTACCGAGGCTTGTTTTCTTTGAGGGTGACAATCGACAATGCCTAGGTTGGTTGGTGATGTAAGCTTCCGAATGATCCTAAATTGCCAAATTATGTAAGTGACCGCCGCGGCGGTACCGTTCGGAACACCGTTCATGCAGCTGGCGGCTCTTTTTGTTCGGAGAGTTGTGGGTTATGAGAGTGGTTGAGGGGATGCGAATCCCGAATTCCGTGTTACACCACTGCCTTATAAACCACCAACAGCGTCAATTACAACCTGACCAATTATGCCGTCGGCCATCAAATCGGTCCGTACCATATTTGGGAGAAGCCTTCCGAGAGTTTAAAGCATATAGGTAGATTAGGGGTGAGCTGAATGCCGTCATGACCATCCATCATCCATGAGCCCCCGAATCATCCACAACGCCACCCCCTGAACCTTTTGTTTACGTTGCTTCTCATGTTGTACAAAATACTTCTTCTCTATTCCCATAAAAGAAAAAAAAAAGACCCATTCTTTGAACCCATCCGCTTTCCCAAATGCAGAAAAAAATGAAAAAGATGTGTTTCCGCCTATGTACACTTAAATGTGCTTTTCCCGTTGCGCGTGGTTGATGTTAGTAGTACAATAGAAATGCCCAGCCCGAGTTCCACCCCCGGAGCCAAGCTTTTTAGACTTGGAGATCTAGATCTTGAAGCTGTGTTCTACACATCTATTTCTTCCGCTTCAGAGTCTTGACAGCCATCTCGATGAGGCCATCCTTGGCCTCGCTGTCTGGGAACGGCGCGATGGCATCAATGGCCTTCTGTGCGTAGTCCTCGGCCAGCGCCCGTGTCTGCTCGATACCATCACTCTGCGCAACCAGGTCGCGTGCCTAGAAAATAGTCAGCCGGTCGATTCCTCTCACGGAAGACGATGAGGAAATAAAACCCACCCTCACAACATCACCCTCCTTCTCAAACTTCCTCCCAACCAGCGCGCCGAGCTCTGGCATCGTCTTCCACGCAAACAGCAGAGGCGCCGTCGCAAGTCCCAGCTCCAAATCCGCCCCCGCCGGCTTGCCGAGTTCTTGCTCGCTCCTGGTGTAGTCGAGCATATCATCCACCAGCTGGAACGCCAAACCCAGGTTCTTCCCATAGGCATACGCCGCATCCACCGTCGCCGCATCACTTCCACCAAGCAGCGCCGCCGCGCGACAGCTCTTGCTGATCAGCGACGCAGTCTTGAGGTACGTCTTCTGGAGGTAATACGTCAGAGTCTCCTCCGACCATTGCGGGTTGCGCTCGTCGCGTGCAGTGTTCTTCAGCTGCATGAACTCGCCCTCCACCAAGTTGGCAATGACCGTAGCCAACAGCTCGATAACCTCGGCATGACGCAACCTCGCAAGAGCCACAGACGCTCTCCCGAGAAGGAAATCACCTGCCAGGACAGCCATCTTGTTGCCAAACTCGAGGTTGGCAGATGGTGAGCCTCTTCGGGATTCAGAGTGATCAATCACATCGTCGTGAAGCAGCGAAGCAGTGTGAATCAGCTCGGTGATCTCGGCGAGTCTCCTTTGCGAAGGGAGAATGTCGGGGTGGTCGTTCGTCTCGGCTTCGGGGGCAACGGCTGTCGCGGAAGGGTTGAAGTCGGAGAGGACGGAAAGCGGGGAGATGGAGCTGTCGATGCCCATCGAGGCCTGGAGGGTGGCCTGCTGCCTCTGGGGGGCTTTGGGGCAGAGGGAGGTGGCGCGCGACATGAGCAGGACTATTAGTGGCCGGACATGCTTGCCTTCGGCTTGTGTGTAGTACTTTGCTGCTCTGTCCAGGGAGGGGTGGCCGGACCCGAGGAGTTTCCTGATGTTGCCTGTGAGAAACTTCATCTCCTTGGCGACGATCCGTAGGGGGTCGACGGAGGGCATGTCCCCTCTGGTGGCGCGGGTGATCGCATTGTTGACGATGTTGCCGGCGACGGAGACGGCGGCAGCCCAGGCGGAGGAGTCTCGTCTTCCGGTGTGGAAAGGAGCTCTGGACTGAGCTATCCTACTATCGAGGGGAGCTGTGGATCTGAGGCAGGTGGAACATGTTGTCGTCGTCGCCCTCGAAAATGTTGACATGCGAAGCCGGCTGACCCCGCGCACCATTGTAGGCCCCTGCATTTCTCTCTGGAGGTGGGATGTTTCCCACACACACTCGTTCCCGGTCGAATCCTCCTCTGTGATATCCAATTGACCTCTGTAGGTTTACTGTGTGGTCATCTGCCGTATCCGGGAGGAATTCGACGCCGAGGTATCCTCCGAAAGCCGTGATCTCCGGCCCTGTCGTACGAAAGATCTCTACGCACACAAGTTGCTTTAGGCCGGTGATGTGGGTCCCGAAAACTTCCTTTCCGATAATTTTTTGGCATCCGGTTCTGAAGAAGGTGGCGTTCTCGGCTTGTGGTTGTGGCTGGTGGCCTCTGAAGACCCACCGGGTGCCTGCATCCTTGCAAGCTTTGTGAGGCTTGGCGATCCGTCATTCTGGGCCGCATCAGCTTGAGCTCCAACAAGCTCTCGGCGGCGTCGCAAACAAAACATTGTCTTCTTACATATCATCAACACCCAACCATGGTGCTCCTCACAATGACGCGCTCCATCGTGGAGGCTCTGCAAATCTGGGACAATCTAGGCTACCCATCAAAAGACAAGCTCCAGGCAGGCAAAGACGACCCCGCGCTCGACGATGCCGCTGTCGGCAAGCCCATTCTACACTCACAAATCATCGAGCTCTGGTTAATACTCAGGGATGCCGGGCATGAGGAACATACTTTGGAAAACATGCTGAAAGGCGCCTGGGTCTACGTCCCACCACCGCCACCAAAGCCAGAACCAGTATGTACCCCGTCTTGTACCAGACGCCGGTTGGTGCTGACGAAGTAATAGTCAAACGAATACAAAGCCTTGATGGCCCGTCTCCGGCGCGAAGAAGAACAACGAGCATACGAGCGAATGACGAACCCACTTCCCCCAACCGAGACCTTTGCTCAACGATTTCCTGCTGCGAATATGGCGAGGAGCTTTGCTGCTGTCAATCGAGTAACGGTCGATAAAGACCTCGGCGATGACGATGTTACATATAACGACGTGCACAGACAGCTGATGCTGATACTGAACTTTATGGTCAGTATCCTGGGTGTGGCAGGCACTCTGTGGGTGTTGGCCAGATGGTGGAGCACACCAGCGCGACTGTTTCTGACTCTGGGGGGAAGTCTGTTGGTGGGGATTGCTGAAATTGCTGTATACTCGGGATACATATGGCATTTGGGTGAGGCGAAGAAGCAGGATAAGAAGTTTAAGGAGGTGAAGCAGATTGTACAGACGTGGGCTGTTGGAGTGGATGAAAAGGAGGAGGCCACTCTTATTGGGGACAAGAGCTCGTCAGATGAGAATACGGATCTCCGGAGGCGCAAGAAGGATGCTCAAATTTGAATGGTTTGTAGCCCCTATGTTTACCAAACCCCTTTCGAATTATGAGCTTTTGACCTTGAATTCCATGTTGGGCGCAAATGGCAATTGTGACTTTTGAATGGGGGAAACATTTACAGTGGGTAGGGGTGCTAATTGAGTGGGGCTGCCCGCGTCATAGCGCGCTGCGGGGCCCAACGCGCTGAGCAGACGCGTTCTGCGCAACGCGATCTTCGATCTTGACCCATGTCGCTACCGAGTACAACTTTTCTGCAAGTTGGGATCTTGGTGCATCTTCTTGGCAGCATTTTTATCTGATTATATCGCCGCATCTCTATCGTCCGAATAAAGCTCGCGCGCCGTTACAGCTCGTTTTAGACTCAGTGGGCGCAACAATGTCACTTGACCCATCACCAGAAGCCGTCTTCGATTCTTCGATATCGACCGCGACGACTGGCCTACCACGCCAGCGCAAGAGACCTCTGCGAACCTACGGTCGTCAGTCCACCTCTGCGAGAGACAACGACCAGAAAGAACGCCCTTTCAAGAGGCAAAAGGTCGCGCCGCCGGTGGTGGACCGAGAGAATCAAGAAAACAGGGTGCCGAAGTCGACGGAAGAACCACCAGTACCATCACTGCCGGAACCCTCAAAACAGGCGCCGACGATACCGGAAAAGAAGGGCGGGTCGATATTATCGTACTTCAAACCGCTCTGCCTCCCTGCCCAGTCTACCTCCGACGCACCAACCATAACTCCAGCCACCCCGACGACCCTCTCCGACGCACCAGACCTCGACAAAGACTCCACAGCAACAACACCCCCCTCCTCCCCACCATCAGGCGCGCTGTTCAAAAGGTCAAGGGAGAGGAGGAGATTGCAAAGCAAAGTCACGATATGCACCCTCCCAGGTGTCGCCTTTAGTCGAGAGCCGTCCCCGGAACCCATCATCGCGTCAGACGGGGAGGAGATCTACGACCAGATTGTTGTCAGGGGCGACTGGGGGGATGAGAACGACACAGCCAGTGAGGTATCGGAGGATACAAGGTCGATTACTACGGAGACGAGGGAGAGGAAGCGGACGCTGTTGAAGCAGAAGCAGATGGTGCAGACTGTTTTGAATCTGTCCATCAACAAGGACCCGGGGATTCAGATATGTAAGGACTGTGGGGTGTTGTATAACCCGCTGAATGAGCAGGATAGAAAGGAGCATAAGAGGCAGCATGCGGCGCATGTGAGGAGTTTGAGGGGGAAGTTGGCGTTGTGAGTTTTGTGCATTCTTGGGCAGCACATCATGGCAGGGTAATGTTTGTGTGGTGTTAGCTCTGGATTAATGATTGGTTTCCATCGTTTTTTTTTTATCATGGGATGGCGATGGTGTGTGGTTGAAGATGTTTGGGCGGGACAGGTTATGATAAGTAGGAAATACCCCTGAATTGATTACAAAGAACAATGCAAGGTTTATCAACAGAGAGTGGCCGGAATAGGGGCCGTGATTGATCGATTTGCTAATAATTCAGGTAGATCGACCTCGAGTCAAGATGAAAATTGCCGGCTTTGTGACGGGGTGATTGGATTGACTGAAGTGATGAGATGGTGACATCATGACCACCGCGAATTCGCTGTGCAACGGTATGGATGAACAATTGATTGAAAACACTGGACTACGGATTTTTCAAGGATAAAAAGGGTTGGTTTTTCTTCAGTTCTTGTGGTCTTTTCGACTTTGATCAATTGACAGGCGCTGGAACGAGTAACACCAACACCGCAATCATGGTCCATCAACACGGCGACCACCACGACATCCCGACCCATTCGCTCGTGAAGCGGTTTGTCCCTCCCCCCCCCGATACCCCCCGATACCCCTCATGTCTAACAAACACAACACAGCATCGGCGGCTGGCTCCCAACCGACCACCGCATCCACCATGAATGGCTCAGCCGCACCATCGACCGCGCCCACAAACGATCCGGCCCCCCGGAGCAGACCAAGCTCATCCCCGTGCTGCGGGAGTTCAAGGAGCTGATTGAGGGCAATGCGAGAATATACATGTACTTCAACCAGATGTGGGACGAGGTCCCGCGTCGTCCTCCGTACAACAAGGACCCGACTGGCAAGAGCCAGATCAGAGACTACAAGCACATGCTTGCTGTGCTGAACGAAGTTTTTGGGAGAGCACCAGAATGGACGGATGCTGCTGCTCATGCTGGCATGGTGGGGGTTCCGATGGCTGCTATTTTCGACTATGCGATGGGGACGCCGAGCGGGCATGCGGCGTTTTTGGATCCGGATGTGAACAAGATGTTGAAAAAGATTTTGAATGAGTGGGGGAGGTATCTCAAGGTTTGTTTATCTTTACTGGGCACCTGATCCCTGACCGACTGACTGACTGACATGATGGTGGCAGACGCCGGAATCCGCCGAGGTTTTGGGGGATCACTCGGCTGGCTGGTTCGGCGAGACGGGCTACAAAGACCTTATGGAAGTGGCCAACACGCCGACTAAGACGTCGTTCAAGTTTGAGGAGATGTATCATTGTGATCCGTCAAAGAAGCACTACGGTTTCACGTCTTGGGATGACTTCTTTACCCGCAAGATCACGGACAAGTCCCGCCCTGTTGCTAGCCCGGATGATGACAAGGTTGTTGTCAACAGCTGCGAGTCTCGGCCTTACTGCGTGGCGAACAACGTCAAGTTGCGGGACAGATTCTGGGTCAAGGGACAGCCTTACTCTGTAACTGACATGCTCGCGCACGACCCCCTGGCGGAGAAGTTTGCCAGGGGGACGATTTATCAGGCGTTTTTGTCGGCTCTGTCGTACCACCGCTGGCATGCCCCCGTGTCGGGCACCATCAGGAGGGCGTTTGTTGAGGATGGGACGTATTTCTCGGAGCCGCTCATGTTTGACCAGAGCGGGGGGGAGGACAAGGTTGATATTGACACCAAGGGGATCCAAGGGGCCTTGGGATATCTCACTGCGTTGGCGACGAGGGCGGTGATTTTTATTGAGGCGGATAACCCCAAGATTGGGCTCATGGCCTTTATCGGGGTGGGGATGGATGAGGTGAGCACGTGTGAGATTACGGTGAAGGAGGGGCAGAAGGTGAAGAAGGGGGAGGAGTTGGGCATGTTTCATTTTGGGGGGAGTACGTATTGTTTGATGTTTAGGAAGGAGACGAGGTTGAAGGGGTGGCCGGATATTGGGAAGTATGCGGAGGCGAATGAGAATTATCCGGTTAGGGGGGCGTTGGCGGTTGTCGAGTGAGTGGTGATGTTGGAGGCTAATGATGGTGTTTGTATTGTTGAGTAGTAATTTGAGACTGGTGTTATGTTGATGTCGGATGAGCTCAAGGGTTATTGTTCCGTTGTGTAAGTGTCAAAACAAAACAAAACACCATGAAAACTACAAAAAGCCCACCAGCGTTGCTGGCTACGAAAGCCCTCTATTTGGAGTTTCACCATTCCAAATTGCTCTCCCCTATTATTGCCTGGGGGAGGCAGTTCATCCAGGGATTTTTCATATTTAGAGCCGAAGTCAATGGCTATGCTCATAGATGTTCTCGATTAGGAATCAAACCTGCCACCATTCGTGGGCAACCCAGTCTGTTTCTACAGTACCCGACAGGTTGTTCGGTCGTCGCTTCTGGCCACTGCGCTAGACAGACAGTCAGGTGCCAATTGAGTTGGCGAAAGTCTGAGAGCAATTGGGGTATATGTGGGGAAGGAACACTCTCCCAGATAGGCTGTGCTCTGGCTGTTCCCTCCTTAATACATCAGACAAGATGTCCACCAAAAAGAATTTAGTGGGTGCTGAATCGACATGCCAACCACCTACTGGAAGAGACATTAAATGACCTGGATAAAGTCAGGTAACTACCTTGGTTCCTTTACAAACCCCATTTCCTCGCCTTCAACCCGAGACGGTATGCTGGAGTATGCACCTCTTCGTTCCTCGGCTGGACTTGGGATTGCTAGATGACGCCCCCCATGCTGACAGGGCGCAAGATCAAGAACTGACATGACCTGACATCGGGTGCTATCAGCTGCACGAAATGTGACAATTCCTCCAACAACCAAGCTCGAAAACTGCACTTTTCACCGTCTTCCATCGGCAGTTATAAACGCCCCCAAAACACGCTGGAAATAGAGACTGTCGGTCGTCGGATGTGGCTGTCACAACATGGATCGTCCTTTCGGGGACCGAGATATGTACTATAGCTTGACATGCAGATACAAGCAGTGGCTGGGGTAGATGGCTTGCCTCAGTTCTTCCTCACCGACACAACCCCCCTCAGTACCTAGCTAAGACACATAGACCGCCTCCCAGCCTTATGAGGAAAGATCTGGAGATGAGAAACAGCAGGAGAAACTGAAGCACTGACAAGAACTCTAGGCTTTCTCCACTTTCACCTGATAGATGGTTGAGTCGGGAGGCGAAGATGCAGTCTGTCTAAGACCTACATATCAACCTCCCGTTGGCTTCACCTCACGAGCTGCTTGCCATATCCACACAAAACACCGAACGAACCGGTCTCCCAAGGTAGCAAGCGGCAGCTGTGTGCAAGTTCAACAAGTCGAACCAAATCACGAAATATCACTAAACAAATCCTCTGAATCGATTATGATACATCACACCACACCATCAGCTCACAACCAAAAATCCAAAAAGTTCCAGACCACCCATCACCAACAACCATCTCGGATCAAATTAACACTGGACAGAAATTCTCCAATCCCGGAGAGTCCCGGAGATAAACCACCCATTTATTTCCCTCCCACCCCGACTTATTCCCCCTCTTGCATACATCAGTCACCAAGGCTTCCCCCCCTTCAAAAAAAGCCTGCAGGTCGCACCGGTGTGACAGATCTCAACCCACCATCTCTGTTCCCCATATCGCCGTGATAGTCTGCAGTAGAAAAAAGTGTGGTGTGAAAACCCCAAGCTGCATGCTACTGGGGTCCCCCATAGGGTCGGTTATTATGAGTGGTCTTGTTGGGCTGATTGAGAAGCTCATTGGGTGGGCC